TATATATATATATATATAGTCTGTAATATGTATCAATAAAATTATAAGAATTGTATTCCAGACTCAAATTCATACTGGGAGAAGGTGACAAATCTTTAAATTTTCTAGATATCACATAAATCAATGAAAATAATTTATTTACGATTTGTAGTACAAACTTCTCATTATCTAAATTATCTTTTTCATTATTTCCACTATCAGAAATTAGATGTAATTTTGAGTCTGGTTGACAAAGTACTATTGTTATTAGATCCGAGAATTTCGATAAAGAATTTCGATATCATAAAAATATTATTTAGCAATGGATACTTCTTAAAAATAATTTTTGACATCAATAAAAGATTACATAACAAATTCCAACAGTTTTATTAAAAGTTTTAAAAAATTGTCATCAATCATAAGAATAAAAACAATACAGTCAAATTGAAGTATTTCACCATTCCATTTCTAAATATTATTTCAGGAAAGATTAAGCTTATTAAGAATATTTCCACAGAATAGAAGAATATTTCGGATAGACTATTCTGATGAATAAAATAAGACGTTTCATCAGAGTATTCAAAGACATTGCCTTTAAATTTACATTCTAACATATTTACAAAATCAATTGTAAAGACTGCGACGCATTCTACAAACGAACAGAACCTTAATAATAAGAATAAATGAGCAGAACCACATAAATCGGAATACCACACAACACTCCATAATCACGGATAGATTGAATATATCATTCTAGACAGTGGGATGTATAGACAGTAGTATATTGGTTCGAAGTCCCGAAAAAAATTAAATGTCATATCCTACCCGCTTGGGGCCTAACCATCTAGAAGTTGCAACGTATACAGTATCTGCTTGGAACATCCATCGTTTGAGTTCTTAATTTTCGATTTTTTAATAAACTAATTACGTCAATTGAACTACGGTTTGCGGCATAAGTTAGCACAAACCTAGTACAATCTAGCATAATTTTGATTTTTTATTTTCCAAAATGGCGATGCTAACTTCACAGACATCAGCTTTACCTTAGTTGGCTGAATTGATTCCTGGTTTCATATATACATGTAAATACGTTACAATCTTACCGATGCTCGATTATCATCGAGCGAATAGATGCATTCTCATACTTAAGCGCTCCATAATTCGGTCTCTAGGCATTTTTGGACTTTGTGCCTATCGATATTATAAATTTTTTGATAATTGCATTTCAATACCTTTATAGAATAGTGAGATAAATCAATGGTTTAAAGAAAACACATCATTAAATTAAAAGATCACGTATGTTTCCCTTTACAAAGATAGGCAATTTGTTCAGGAGTAAGGAGGATGACATATTAAATTTTCAGACAATTTCACCAAGGAGCCAAAATATCCATAAGGTTGGTGCGAGATCCTTTGAGAATATTCTCCGCAAATTCACTTTTGATATAACTGTTACGATCCAAAAAATTAAGATTATGTATGAGTTACGTGTTTGAAATGTATTTGTGCCAGCTACTATTGGCAATTCTTTGATTTTTTTATCGTCTATTATCATTGATGATTAATCACTAAATTTATTGATAGAAAATGACACTATTTTATTTATAGAAATACTTGTTTTGTAATTTCAAAATTAAATTTAAGAATATAAATTATAATTGCAATTTTTTTTAATTTTCAATATATGTATGTATTCAATGTGTCCCACTAAAGGTTACAAATTATTATTTTTAAAACTAAGCAAAGTATAACATTTTTGTTATCTATCGTTCATTTAAAATTAAAGATAATATACGATGATATTTATTTTTACTGTTTTGTGGAGCAACTTTGAAGATTTGCGATCACGTTTATTTTTTTTTTAATGAGAATTATATAATCTTTATAATTACATGATTTTTCTAATTGTCTGCATATAAATTAAAGTTAAATTATCGAAAAATTAATAATATGAGATACTTTACACTTTATTCTAGCACATTTTGACATCAAATATAAAATACCTCATAAATTATTATAAATTTTTTGATAATCGCAATACCTTTATAGAATAAGAATGAGATTAATCAATGGTTTAAAGAAAACACATAATTACTCAATAAAATTAAAAGATCACGTAAAAGATATGTTTTCCTGTACAAAGATAGGCAACTTTCAAGATAGAATAACTTCGTAAAAAGTCATTGTATCAAGCATATTAAAAAAGCGTTTTATAGCTTGAAATCTCTACTGTTCAGATACTTTAGAAAATAGTCTTTTACTGATATTTTATAAAGTTACACAAATATAAATGAAAATGCATTAAATCTCAAAATTTTTTATTTGCGAAATATTACGGCACGAATTAAAAATTGCGCACCAATAAGATTTATAGCTTTTGAAAGAGTCTTTAACTTTAATTTGCTTTTCTATTAATCTTTGTACAATTTTTTTTCATCGAGTTATTCAACATAGAAGCAAAAAGAATCGTTTTTGCTGAATAATTCGGAGAAAAAAAATTGTACAAAAACAAACACTTCATAAAAAAACAAATTAAAAATAAAGATTCATTTTATCGAATGACGTAAATCGCATTTATGTGTAATTATTAATTTGCTCCGTGAAACTTCGCAAATTTCAAAAAAAATTTGAGATCTGATGTATCTTTATTTATGTTTGTATAATTTCATAAAATATTAATAAGATTTTTTAAGTACTCATCTGAAAAATAGAGATTTCTGTAAAATGCTTTTTTAAACATCTTCATACAATTTTGTTGAGTAGTGTAGGATAGATCAGGGAGTAAAGGTTCTCGGGGAAAAAGGTCGACTCCTTGTTTTTCAATGATAACGCATTAGAAAATTCCACCATTCGTCAACTAAGAATGGAAATCTCACGCCACACAATTCGTGCTGCTTAATAACTGCTTAATAACTTGCAGGAAGCTTACGCGGACGTGCCCGTGCGTTTGAAAGCCAAAAGTAAAATATTTAACATCGCAGTTATTTTGTGGTCTAAAGAGATCATTTTTGCAACTAGATTAAGTATGTGTATTTGTTAATCTTATTATATTGTTTTAATAGTGCGATTATTAAAACAGTTATTTTTATTATACTTTTTTTTGTACTTTTTTAATAACAATGTAGCAAAGTTTATTTGTTTATTGTATTACTGGAGTAAAAAGTGCCAAGATTGTTCTTGTCCTTAAATTTTACAATGAGTAAATCGGTAATCCTAGATCAGTGAAATTGACAAATAGCTTGTATGACTAATGCTGATTGATTAACTTCACCGATTAAAACTAATTGTAAGATTTCCTACTACTAATTCATTATAGAATCAGCATTAATGGTTTTTTTTACACAGAGATTGATAATTATTCAAAATGCGGCCTTCACTTCCGACGCGTTTTTGCATGAAACGAAAGAATCTGTAGGAAAAAACGTTGGGTCGGCGTTGCGAACTGAGATATTATAAGCGTTAAAATTGACCTAGATTAGGAAATCTGTCAAAGTAATGAAGTATAGCGACTCAAAAACGCATCGAATGAGTCTAATTTCATCGAAATCAGAGGTGAAGGCCATATTCTGAATAATTACCGAGAGATTTCAGTTGCATTTTTACTAAAAATCATCCTAATAATTTTACTATCTGTGTTATGAGATTGACATTTTTATTGTATCTTTTGTTTTATTTTTATTGTAATTTTGTTTCTTAACCAAAATTTACTTAATATAGGTCGATGCTTTATAATAAAAAAAAACTCTTTAGTAAGTGTCTATTTTGATTTCTTAGAATCATCTCGAACTTGATATAGAAGAATTGTTACTTTTTACCCACATGGAACTTCTGTATACGGGAAATAAGAAGTACCGAATGACTTTCTCTGCAAAATTTATAATATCTTTTTAAATTTTAAAAGATATATGCGTATACTTGTTGCATGCCCTTCGTATAGTCAAAGTTTCGATAAATCTAGTTTCTCTAATTTCGATAAATAGCAGCACGATCTGTGAGACTTAAATATTCTTTGTTTTAGAGCAAAAAATGTCAAAAATGGCACTTTGCTCTCTAGTCTATTCTATATTTTTAAGCAACTATCTATTTTCTCGAATGTCATGTAAAATATCGCACAAACTTATTACGTTTCGATAATCAGACATAATCATAATTTAACATGGATTTAAAAATAGCATCTTTAAGAGGAGGACAAACAAGAGAATGAGAAAGAGAAAGCGTTAGATGATAATGAGATAATTGGGCCCAATTTGGGCCGTTTTCCAAAATTGATCACTCGCTATTTGTATATGATTATATGATTAATTTAACAGATGATAAAATTCGAACAAGCGATCCGTATGAATCGATTGTATCGATTCATAGATCATATTATTCATTTTGTTTGTGTAAAAACAGAAAAAATTGATACGTCATGATATAATATTCCATAAATAAGTAATTGTTTTCTATAATTATGAAAACGGTTATTAATTTTCGTAATTCATGTTATTGTAGTTCTATATTCATGCTTTACTACACTATATTTTCGTCACAACGTTTTGTTTATAATTAAAAAAAAGAGGAACTCTTTATATGGTGATACCAATGTGAGCAGCCATGTCCGAGCATATGCATAAGTGTGACATTTGTCACAAATATAAAAAAGAGAAGACATATATGCGGTTCATATTGGGTACATATTTTGCTAAAGTAATTTTAAATGCTACCTTTCTTTTAAATCTCTATTGCATCTATATAAATATATGAACTCATACTTTTTTTAATGTTCAGAAATATTCTCTCTTTCTAATATGATCATTAATTTTCAATTTTGACCCAATTTTTACTTTAGCAAAAAATTTTCAAAGCTTAGGAGGCCTCTACATTGGGCCTGATTACCTTACAATTACAATTCTGAAGAGAGTGATTAAATTTAACTAATAAGAAGAAAAATAAGCCATTATCAAGTTTAGTAAATTTTATTTTGATTGGTCAGATTTAATTTCAGTTTCTCACTCTCTAATTTGATATGGATGTTACGTCTATTTTTTATCACTGTGCTGGATTGCATTAAAATCTATTTCGCTTTCCTCTTCAAATTACATCTATTACATTTTCTAAGTATACTGATGACAACAAGTGTATACTGATACTTATAGCTCCGTTATAAAAAACAGATCTCTAAAGTTTGTCTCAGTCTATGGTTGACAGTTGACTCCACAAGATAGAAGGCTTTGAATGGCTCCTTTTGTCTACAAATCGATTGCCTATAGTGTCGTTTGCCTTTTACAAATATTTTGCGCACAAAATTTTCAGAGACGAAATTACATTTGCCTACATATATTATTGCCTACAGCTCAATTGTCTACAAGCACTTTTCTACACAAATATAAAATTAAAGTTAAGTAAGAAAATAATTTGTATCTTTAAAGCAGAAAATTTGTAAAAACGGAAAGATTAAAGGTATACACCACAAACTCCAGATATCATTAGCGATTGATTACAATACATTGTAATCTAATTCCACATAATTAAATACATAAACGTTTCGGCCTTATATTAGACCATCTTTAATATATAAAATATTTATGCACCAAATTACAAAATATTTATGCACCAACAATTCGTCTATGTGTATTGTCTTATGACATATCTACTTGTAACATCAAACTGCTCGTTATTTATATAATAATAGTTTTTTATTCTTAATCAGCAAGTTATTGATGTTAGTCCGAAAGGATAAAAGTTATTATATCAGAAAATTTGTATTTTAAAGCATAGAATTTGTTTCAAAACAAAGAATTCGTGTTTTAAAGCAAAAAATTTGTGTTTTAAAAAAGAATTTATGTTTTTAAAGTAGAGAATATAGTAGCGTAAATAATCCAACAACGAACAGTAATACACTATAAACCATTGCGATATTTTATAAATGCGACATTATCAGATTGTGCTGCTATCATGCAGTGATTCGCATTTAAATCTCCTCGGCTCCCAGTCGATTGGCAGATCGCGCCAAGGACGGCCATATAATGTCACATTTTAAGAATTTTGGGTTGCAAAGTAAATTTTTTTGTAAGTTTTATGCATTTTTTTATATTTTTGTTATATCTATCATTTTTTTCATTGTGCAATGGTTTTGTGTACACATTTGATTTTATTATTTTGTTAGCAACTTTTTCTGTTATATTATTTTACTACATCATTTAGGAGATTGGAAATGGTTGGTGGTTTACAATTATCATTTTGACATAGTGAACAATAAACCATGGTATGTTGTAGATTACATCTTTTTTACGATAACCTTCAAAATAATAATTATTTAGAATATGGCCCCTCTCTTCACCTAAAATCTCAATAAAAATATACTGCTTTGATGCTTTTCATTTAAAACGAAAGAAAAACGCGGTGGTCGGCCTTGTGAATTCTCACCATCTTATAATTATCTATTTTATAAAAAAAAAATAAACATTTTTAAATATAGTAAAACTAAAATAATCCTAACAATTCACAATATAAAACATGTAGTTTAATGTTAAAAATAGCATGGTTCGTTGTGTAATATCGTGTGTCGACGAACTGTCGACAAAAATGATGTAAATAATGATACCATAGGCAATTGATTTGTAATCAAACGGAATCTCTCCCCCGAAGGCTTTTGGAGAGCTTCTACAGCGTAGTAGATACTGGTTTATAAGAGAGAATCTTTTTTCTATTTCGATGGAAGACTTATTGGTTCAGACAGTCTTATGTACTAGGTTGCTATGCAATGTTATGCTATGCTTATATATTTTATATATAGCCTTAAATCTTACAAAAAAATAATATGTTGACAGAATTAATTTAATGAGAAATAATCTTTATTTATGTTTCTTGTTTCTATAAGACAAATATCTGATAAAACAAATATTTTATTAATATTGTTAAATTATTATAATATTATTAAATTAAGATTATTTCTATTTAGATTTAATGCTATTATAAAATTATTTTTTTAATAAAAAAACATAATTAAAACATAATTAATGCAAGCTACAAAAATAAATGGCCATTATGAAATACAAAATTAATTGTTACATTTTCACTTTCTATAATTAATAGTTGAAAATAAATTGTTACGTTTTATTTAATTGATTTAATATCACACAATCAAGAATAATTATTGGAAGGATCATATAGATAATATTATATACACAATATTATATACATTATTATGTTTATTACGGCACAGTACATGTATGAAAAGTACATGTATGATGCACTAACATACTAGTGATATATGTATATTCAAATGTATATATCTAAATATCTTAAATATATAACTTAAAATAAAACTGTAAAGAATAATGGTAATCATGATGCATAATACTATATATGTACTATAAACTGTATGTAATATCAAGTTTAAACCTAATAGTTACCACGCACTCGATTCTACTCAATATATTGTTATTTTATACTTATTTTATACTTTTAATGATTAAATTTGAAACTATATAATGTCAAATTTAATTATTGTTTTAGTGTAAAGTAATATTGAGACATATTGAGAGGAACAGTGGCAACTTAAATTAGTTTAAATTTGACATTATAGATATAACAGTGTGTAATAAGTCAGCGAGATCTGTACAATCGGATGTAGATTCTTGTTTTTGATTATCACGTATAATCAATCTCGTTTATGGCGACAAGTAATTTTACTGATTGGTAAAGTTGTATCTTCTGAAAATTTCGAAGAAATTTTCCTCGTTCGCTTTTACGAAATCTGAGACAGCCTCAGACTATATTGATGTCCTGTTGTCATTCGATCATCTTAAAGAGTGCGCAGGAGAATATCATTCCGAAAAACTGCAATGTTTCAAGAATTAAAACATAATTACTAAATATTAATGAGAGATAGAAGAAATGAAAGAAAGTATTTGCTTGAATACAATGTGCTCAAGAATGCTAGTCATACGATTTTAAAAAAGAAAAAAGAAAATGTTATACAAATTTTAAAATTAATTCAATTGTAAAAGAAATATTTAGGCTTAGACTTTATAGCGTTGAGGCTTTAATTTTAATTGGAGAAAATATCAAAATAAAAAATGTCAAAGTAAAAACTGCTTTCTTACCATAAGACATGCGACTGCAATACCAGCAGCACCCACAACGGTTGCGTGTTGCTGCATGTAGACTCGTGTTCCATTGATGCAACCCTCTACGTAAGCATTGGAAGGATTTATCGAATCCGGGCTATGATTGCAGTTGAATCGCTACAAGCAGACCATCAAACGACCATGAGAAACGCAGTTCCTCTCTCGCGAGAAAGCCGATCGGAGGAGTGAAAGTGTGAGAGGTGTAGATTGGGGCGGTGAAGACTCAATCGATTAAGTAATAGCGGCCAAATTGACGGTACTCGAACGAGCGAAATCGGTGGATTGCGTGAAGAATCACTTATTGTTAGACGCGAATAATTATTCGCGTCAAATTGCAATTTCGAGTCTTTAATGTGTTTTTTTGAAAAGTTGTCACCAGATGTACTGAGGAAAATTCCATTTTTTAAAAAGACTAGAATCTTCAAATTAACTTCGATTAAAAACATTAAGCAATGAAAATATGTTTATGATACGCTTTATAAACATGACACGTTATAATGTAAGATTCGCGCATGCAAATTGCTGTTATTAAGTACGAATGTAATTGACTGACAAACTATTTCATCGAATGACGCAATTGCAAATACAATGTAATAATTATTTAATAGACTGTAATGAATAACTATTCAGTATGTGTGTGTGTGTGTGTGTGTGTGTGTGTGTGTGTATGTGTGTGTATTGAATAACTATTTATAAAGAAAAAAGGCTACTTGAATTAAACTAGTTATTAATTGCTTTATTGTTCAAGGTCCAGTATAAAATAATTACACATAAATTTTTTCAATCATTCCAACTTGAAATGTTTGAATTTATGTGTAATTATTTTATATTACGACATTGAATAATAATAGCAATTGACAACTAGCTTGGCTCAAATAGTCCATTTCTTCTTTATATTAAAATATAATTAATTTTTACCTGGCCAGGTGAAATTTCTCGACAGCAACTATTTGGCACGTTGAGGCCATAAGTTCCCCAGTCCCTCCAGTTGTTAACGCCGCAACAATGGAGCTAAAGAGAATTGAATTAGCTTCGGAAAGTCCAAACAATCATTGGATACAAACAAGATAAAACGCACTCGGGATCGTGTCTCGAGTTTCATCGTCTGATAAAATTAACTTTTATTTACGTAATGCGTGCATGGGAATATTTACCGTCGATTGCGTGGTATCCCAAGCATCACGAATGGATTTACGATGATCATAAAGCCGCAACGAACTCTTCATCTCTCTGTCGACCGTACTCAGCAATTTTTCGCGGAAAATGTATCCCAGAACGCCGCCGATGAGCATAGTTACAAACAGCAAGAATACGATTATGAAGTACTGAAAAAAAACAATAAATTTTATTAATCATCTGAGTCGATAACCTTTATCTTAACAAGTTTCAACTTGATGAACTTTAAAAATAATAAGATCTCAACGTTTAATCAATTTAAGTTTCCGGAGAGATTAAATTCGTTCACAATCGCCAAATGGAGGCTGGATGTGGAGGTTGGAAATCGAGACACTTATCGATTGAAACATTCTCCTGGTTCGAAAATAGATTTGGTACTTACTGTCAGGAGCATACACTTGACTTCCCGTGATGCACCGACGCATCCGAAGAAGGCGATAAACGCTACGATAATTCCGCCGACCAATAAAACATAAACTGCACCAGTTAACAGATCGTTTCCCACGAGTTCGCCTATCCATGGTACTTTGTCAACCAAGGCCCAAATGCCTAAACCCGTTACGATAAGTCCGCCAATCTGCAGCATAAATCAATCAGTGAATTTAATTGTCTCTATATATTAATGCACAGTGGACAAAAATAATATGAATACTTTTTACTTTGGAATTACATTATTTATTTGACTATTTGTTTTATTAATAAGAGATTGGCACATCATTTGTTTTAATATTTTCTATCTTTGTTGAAATAGTTGTTCAATAATATAATAATGCTTGAGGTATCAATGTTTGTTTGTTTTTTTTTTTTAAGTATTATTTAATATTATTTTTTTAGTAGAACCTTTTATAAATGATATTGGAGGGAAAAATTTTCTTATTTTATTTCTTCAAAATCGTTTGAAAATTCAACATCTTTCTTAGCTAATGCAATCGCCTGATTTAAATATCGTCTGTAGTTTTAAAGAGTAGAATAAGAAAAAAATTTCCTTTTTTTATATTTTACATAATTAGAAGAAGCTTTATTAGAAGAATATGATATATTATTTACTACTCTATTCCAACAAGGATAGAATCTGTATTAAACATAAATTTGATACTAATTTTTTATTAATAAAACAAATAAATAGTATTTTCTAGTAGATAGTATATTTTCTATTTTCACATTATTTTGTTTATCTCTTGTATATTACAGCTTCAGCAAAATCATTTGGGACTAGAACTTACGAAGATGACAAAGTTCGTGAAGAACAGGGAATATTTCATGAAACGTCCGCAGCCATCCATTTCCGTGCCGTATCCCATTCCCTTTTATCTGCGAAACTCTGTTAATAGACAAATAAAAACTGTTATTATTTTAAGTAAAATGAACAATAAAATATTAGAACATTAAAAAGACAAAAGCGCTGTAACTTGCAAATATTTTCAGCTTTTCCTTAACAGTTAATAACATTGTAATATATTTCGTGTGACGTAATGAGAATCTGAATCACGTTCAAATAGGCTCTTTTTTTCCTATTAAAATTCATTGTAAAACGCAATTTTTAAAGTCTTATTTTTAGTTTAATTTATCTTTCTTTCTTTGCCTTTATCCATTACACTATTTTGTCTCTTTTTTTCTTGTAAATATAATGACATTGAAAGACCCGAAGATGAGTTTTAACGAATATAATTAGACAATTTTTTACAACAGTCACGTACGTCGTTTAATTATGTGATACATCTCAGTGACATCAGACTTATGTTTGACCTAGTTTGAAGTACCTTGGCAGTCCACCATAGCCTTGACCATATCCATAGGCGCGACAACCTCATCATGATTATTAAAGACTCGGGAGATGAAACTCATAACGCGATAAAAATGAATTTCTTAATTCGTGAAACAAACTTTATTTAATTAATTAATCAGATACATGAATAAAATGAAAATGAATAAAGAAATGTCTGTATTCAAAACGGGAAATCTAATAATATTTTTATTTGAATTTGTAGAATTTCCAATTTAAGCAAATTACAAATTGTAAAAATTCATACAAAAATATTAAGCATCAATATAGAAAAATAGGCTCGTGTACATGCAACGCAATATAATTAATAAGTCAAAGCTTTTTTAAACGAGCAATTATAGTTATTCATAAAATAAAAATCGTTTTTTAATTAAATAAGTACAATGCTATAAAGCTTTTCATGAAAAAAATGATTTTTATTTTATAAATAACTATAATTGCTCGTTTAAAAAAGCCTTATTAATTATATATTAAGCATCAAGCCTGGCTTTGACCAAAATATAGTCTTTTTCGCTTATTTATATTGAATATTTCTCGATTAATTTTCACTTACTATTGTTTAATAAACAAATTAATAATTTATAAATAAATTTCAGAAAGGTATATTACTCTTATTTCAATTAAGTATACAAAATATTCATTTTATTGTTCATTTAATTGCATTTCTCACGAATTAGGCTAAAATTTCAACTAAGTCTTTTTCTCATTTCCCCAATAATTCGCGCAATAATTTATACGCAATAGAATCCGGCGTCCTAATAACTATTAATGAGACTAATGAGTCGAGAGGTAGAATAGGTTCGTGATCAATGTGAATTTTTACGACTCGGAAAGCAGAGTCGGCGACTTCCTGTTTTGAAAATACTGCGCACACGGTTCAATTGCACACTATTGTTTGTCGAACGCGTAACAGCGTCGCGCGGCGATCTTTATCTCCGTAAATCGTCGAATTGAGAGGAAACGTGCACGTTTTCACATAATGAAATCCTGTTTCTGGAGAACACGTTCACCTGTTCAGACGTGCACGTTGCACTTTACTACGATCAATGACGCAATGCGGCCCCGAAGAATGGCTTTGCGCGCGTTGATCGCTATCCTTCTTATAATATCGCATACCGCGCCCACTTAAGATTGCGTATTTTGTAATGCGTTGTACAGACCTCGGTCACGCATCGGTATACCACCTCGAAAACACCGAGTTACCGAGAGACCGAGAGAGAAAGTGGTTTCTCTACCTGCGCATTAAGTAATCCACGGTCAGAGCGAAACATTAAAAATGACGTGACGATCATGCTTGCACTTGCAATCCCCGTATCTCGCAAGTGACGCGGTTCCTCCGTCTTATCTTATAAAAGGCTTAGATCACTTTTCTTAATGTTAATCGCGCGCATTTGATTACTTTTCATTTCCACGAAGAAATGAACACGGAAAGAATAGATTATATGTTCAGCAAAGCTATAGCTTGCTGCGCAATTTCAACATTTATAATTAAGAAGAGGTAATGATTAAATTATATCTTTAAGCAATTATTAGTGTGTTAATTCATCTAATTTTTTCCTACAATGAAAATTGTCAATGTAATAAATTATTTTTATTACAGTAACAAAAATACACATCATCTTAGCTAACAGGTTTTGTTAAAAATTTTAATCTATGTATTGAATTAATTTTCATAGAAAGTTATCTTTGTTGTATCAATAAATTTATTGTACTATTATAACAAATATGATTAAAACATATAATCTATAATCGTTATTTTATTCAGCTGTACAACTTTACTACTTTAACGTAAACAATTGACTGTAGATTTACTGAATTAATACAATTTTTAGTTATTTTAACAAATCTTTTTTTTTTCCGTGAATTCACAAGTGAAATCACAAGTGAAGCCCTCTTCATTCGGCTTTCTTTTTTCTAACATTGAATTTCTGATCGTCAACCTCGCGGCATCACGTCACTTTTAAAATAGTTATCGGAGAAAAGAAAGACTGAGAAAGAATAGTGTTAATCAGTCTCGAAGTCAAATAAGTTTTCCAGAGCCACTTGAATATCGAGTGATTTATTAAAGATACGAGAAGCGATAAAACGTGACTCAGTCTGGAATACCTTGCGCGCAAAGGCTACGTGCCTATGAAATGAATTCGCAGCTGGCGCCGCAGAATTATAAGAACTCTGCTGGATTAGTCTTAGGAAAACTGCACGCCTACGATAACGCTCATTAATAAATCATTCGATCTCGGCAAAGTAGTACATACGCGAGCTCTTCAATTAAAATCTTCTTACATCATCAGCTAAAACCGCGTCGTAGTTATTCAGCAGAATACTAACACATGTCGCTTGCTCTGTTATATTATATTCGAGCAACATTACCTTTTTCTCAAGGCGACAGACATTCATTTATTAATCGAAGTTGACAGTGTATCTATTGGAATTATAAAGAAAAAATAGAGCAAGCTCATTAATTTGCAAAAGTATTAAATAGAAACGATCAAAAACTTGTTCAAAAAATTGATTAAAAATTTACTTGTTAGAATAATATATAATACATTAACTTTTTATTTCTTAAGAGATATTCAAAAATGAAAATGTTTTGATTAACACGAAGTCTTCTTTAGTTAAAAAATTCCTAATAAGAAAAAAGATAAGATAGTGCAATTATAAATGTTAAAATTAATAATGTTCGAATGTAAGAGGTCAAGTCAAAACAATCCAATTTAACATATTAAATAGTAAAGTATAAATTGTAAATTATAATCACTACATCAACTTAATAAATTACAAAGAAATGTTAAATTATAAAGATTCTTCTATTAATAACAAAATTAGATAGCTTTTATATTGCATTTATATTGCACTCTATATATTACATCTACATCTGCATTTTAATTATTGTTATTAATATGATAAAATTAATGTAATATAATTAGTAATCAATTTTTTTATGAGTTATATCAAAAAGAATTATAATTCTTGAAATTATTTAGTGCTAAAAAATCATGTAACTCGTATAAAAAAGAATGACTACTAATTATATTAATTACATTAATTAAATTATATTAATTACATTAATTAAATGGGCCAGTTTCGGAGTATAAAGATGTCTTTTCATGATAACGCTCAATGTTCATTTTCAGCGTCAAAGGATATGTGATGCTACAAATGCTAGGTACAAGCTATTATTTTCATAGTAATTTTAAATTATTGATGTCATGTTACCTATTTAAGATGTAATAATGGCGTCATTTATATATCTATCTTATGACGTATTTACAACGTCATACTTGTTAACATAGAGATGACCAATCGACGACGTATTAGTAAAGTTGTTAGTCATCAACTGATAATTTATTTATGCCACTAATAACACAGAAATAACAAAGTATTTTCAGTTCATGACATTATGTGGCTATAACGTTATTTTCCATGTTATTTTACGTTTCATATTTTTCATCTTAATCGTTAGAGATTCGTCATAAGAATGACTAATTAATGATATCAAATAGATGACAATTAGATGATTTTATTAACTTTTATTTTTTTTCTTGGGAAGAAACACATAAAAGTCAATAAAAAATTAAAATGTTTTTTATTTTTTATTAATATCAATAAACAGTATAAGATTTTATAATTAAAAATCATCATTTTGATTTTCATGACATTAAAATAAAATCATTTTGACTTCCTCTTGATTTGGTGTGTTCCTTAAGTTACTATCCAGGCACGTGATCACTGACATTGTTTTTTCAATGTCTTATAAAATGGCATTTTTGAGCGATTATAATGTAATCTCAGGCGATCTACGGTCGTTGATTCCATGTTGAAGAAACAGAAAGACGTGCGTATATAATCTACTCTCTCAAAATTATTTTCAGAATCTCGTCTTAATATTAGTCTTTGGGAGATGTTTGATGATATAATCACGTCTTTCTCGCGTGCGAAAAGCCCAGCATCCGCTTGTCTCGCCGTATAATCGCGCGTTTATCCGCGTGATGCGAACAAGCAGAACGTTTTTTTTTCCTCGCGCTAAAAATAAACGCGTACACTTGTGAACAATATTGTTTACTGATGATTCGAGAAGAAACGGCGAGAGAAGAAATTCCGAGTAGGTAGAAGCTGAAGCCTAAGGTGCGGCTCTTCAATGAATCGAAAGTTAAATCTCGGCTCGAGGTCATGGCGGCTTTATTCCTTCAGATAATATTTCCAGATAGTACTTTCAAGTAGCGATCCCTATTTAGTTAACTCGTTTCGTAATCTCCGTCGATCCGTGCTTCCTCCACAAACTAACGCGACACGTGCAATCGGAGCGCGTTCCAACGCGACGCCGCGCCGTTGCGTATCGTTGCTCATGCGATTTACAAGCGTCCCGTCATCATGTAAATTCACGGTAGTTTTCATAAACACCATAATATGTCGAGGGGAGAATCGATAATATCGGCTTGTGACCGTGTAACGACCTCCGTGTGGAATCTAGCGTGGCATTTTGAAGTCGCGTGGAAACTCGTCAAGTGATTTCAGCGCTTCCGCGAAGTTATTTATGCGGAACGAAACATCGCACGCTTTCCCGCGAGATTCTTCGTCGTATTGATTAGACATTTCAAAAAGCTTAATGCTTAACGATCAAATTGTACTTGGAATATCCGATTAACAAGGAAATCTTTTTAAAAGTTGAAGCATTATGCAAATATTGAGTGACTCTTGTGAGAAAATAATTATAATTTTATAATTAATGCATTTTTCTCGATTTTTTTGTCGGAGCAGATTAGAGGGATATTAATATTTATTCATTTAATTTGTAATGTAATACATAATAATTGTAATAATATGTAAAAAAGTCTAAAAGTTTCTGAAACAAAGAGATAAAAAGTGATAAAATAAAATAATTGCATATTTTTATTATATTCAATAAATTACTCTTTATTTATCACTATATTTTTTAGAATGAATTAAATTTTTCTATATTATTAAAAAAATATTCTGAATTTTTATTCTTAAAATAGTTTTAACTGAAGAGATTAGTTTTTTATTATTAATAAATTTTTCTATAAAAATAATTTATAAGGTTGAAGTTCGATTTGTACAAAAAGATAATTTATTTAATGATTAAGAAAAATAAGCTCCACAGTGTTAAATCAATTTTAAGGACAAAAATTTAGAATATTTTTTTAGCATATAAAAATTAATTCATCATTTTAATAAATGTATTGAAATAAAGGATGATTATAAGAGAATATTATTGAGAAATGTTTTTGAAAAACAGTAGTAGTTCTTTTATTTCATCACTTTTTTTTATAGATCGGAAATTTGTTGATCTTATTACGCACTGCTACAAAATTGAAAAATTAATTTTTATAACTCAATGAAACGCGTAACATCTAACAGAAAATTCTTTTTTATTATTATAATTATTTCTCTTTCAGAAAAAATTCCAAACAAATCAACAGAAGTTTAAAAAATAAAAATATTTTTCTTATATAAAAATTGGATTATACAATGATAAGTCAACAAGGAAAACGGTATTTTAATTATCTTGAATTGAATTGTAAAATTCGTAAGTTAACAATAGCCGAAATTACAGTTTCTTAAGAAACTAATTTATTATTTTCACATTGATACGAAATGATATGAATACTACTTGAGGACATTAACGCGATGAAACTTGGCAGTAAATTCGCAATTACTGGCGCAGTCAGCAACTTTCTCATTTATTAGTCATCGAGTTTGTTCTGGGTGTAAATTAAATTAACATACTAATCAAGAAAGTTTCCATTGTTGTCTTCTTGTTTTTGGCTACTTTACGGATTGATATTATTTAACAAACGTGGGCGTAAGTTAATTCACATACATTTCCTCAATGAACCAAATGATATCTAATTACACTTCCTTTCTGATTCACATCTTTAGTACAATGTTATGATAAAATTATCCATTGAGTTAAGTAAGTTTAATTTAGAAGTTATTTTAAAAATTAAATAAGTTAGATTCTGCGTGTTTACCCGATGACTTTATTTATATCGATATTAATACCAATTCTAAAGATTCACTTCTAAGTATTCACAGAAGAAGTTCCCGGAAAAAAAAAAGAATTAATGTTTCCGACCGAAATAAGAAATCGCTAAGCAAAAAATCGAATAGATATGAATCATATTTAACAACCGCGCGTCAAATGGCAATTCAACGATGAATCATCGCAACTTCGGTGTGTTTGCTCCAAACTTCCTCGTCTCTCGAAAAAACGTAAAGTTCTCGTGAGAATCACGCGGGTATCCTCTAATGCCGATCGATTACTTAACATTTTTACTCACGCTAGTCCCTGGCTGGGTCCCTTTCTCTCCAGCCGGCGGCAGTCGCGGGAAATGAAAAAACAAACGATTCCTTTCTCTACTTGGAAAGCTTTCCTCGTCTCGAAAGGAAACGTTGAAACGATGAGTCGCTTATGCTTCAGGAAAAATATATAGATCTCGTGATGTTGAATCTAATATCACGTTACTGATGAGTGAATTCGACAATCGAAACACCGAGTTGGACGCGCACGTTTTCAGACTGAACTGGAGTGAAACTGAAACGTTAAGACTGAGTGAACTTCTCGCTCGCACTCTCTCTTTCGATCTCCGTCCTTCTGTTTCCCTCCTGTTTTTCTCCCTTCCCTTACCAATTCTCTCGTAGTAGAGCCTTAATATGTTTCTTCGTTCTTCTCTCTTCTCCTCTCTCTTTCTCATATAGTCATGGCTTACTATACCATAAATTGCGTATACGCGTTTACTACCATCGTGATCTAACTATAGTGCGAGCCATTGTGCACGAGCCGGTCTGCCGGTGTGCACGAGGAAAACACACGATGGGAGCCAACGAAAGTGGGGAACCATTGGCACATATGCACTGGTAACGCACACAGTATGATGTATGTACACACGATGATCCATACACACTATGGAACAAGAACCGCTTCTCGGGAGTTCCTGCTCCACAAGGCCCTACTTTCGGATAGGAATGTGAATGTGATAATCAAACTGTTGCCTGCAGAAGGCGATTTGTTGATTTAATGTTACCTCGGTAACTAATACAAGAAATTAACGATTTTTGCTGTTAAGATGAATGTGATCCAACAACTTTTGTTACGCGGAATTTCAATTGTCACGCGGGGGCTTTTATTTGATAATTAATATAATTAATATGCCAAGTGACAAAATTAATACAGAAAAAAAGTAATAATTTTTTAAATGTTTATATATACATATTCTCGAATTCGATTGGAAGAAACTAGTGCGCACTGTGTATATTAAAGCCGTTGTATACTGATTTAATATAACTATAAAAATGAAATGCAAATATTTCAAATTATAAAATACTTATTTTACCTAATAGTACAATAAAATGTATTGAGTATTTCAGGATTTAATCGATTTCTATGTTTATGTATAAACATATCTTTACATTAATATTTTAAAAATATTTTACGCTTATAGGTTTAAAGCCGTCGTAAAGATATGTTATATCTTTACGACGGTTTTAAACCTATAAGTGCAAAATATTTTTAGATTGTTATATGAATATTATTAAAAAAATTAAAATCAATTATTACAATGTTTCGAGAATACCATATATAATATTTTTTAATATTATGGAAGTATTCTCTAGAAGTATCTTATATGATACCCTAGGTATTATATAATTGGACATCTCTAGAAAATACTCCCATATTAAATATTAAAAAATAATAT